AAATGGTACTTTAAAATCTTTTGGCGGTCTCCTCCCCCTTAGTGGGCGGTGTCAAGTGTCATATTACAAAATGCATTACGGTCTTTTAGAATCAAACCTTTTTATAATCTTGACCAAAAAAACAAATCATTGGAAAGGTCTGCATCTCAGGATTCCATATTTGGTGGTTATTTTGAGATAAAAGTAATATTGACAGAGAAATCTAGACATTTGTGACAGAAAAATGCATTAAAAAAATTCTATAGAGTTTGGATGGCACCCGGTGGCTGTTTGTGGAATGACGCCCTAAATAAAATCTCACAGGAACCTCATTTTTTTTCATATCAACTTCAAATTTGGAACATAACTTATTTAGACATACGGCTTTAATTTTATACCAATTTTAGAGTAAAACCTGTTATGTAAAATAATGAAAATAAAATTAATATAGTGCATTTTATTTACAGTAAATTTAAACTTCTATAACTTTTTGATACTTGAATTTTTCACTTCACAAATCCACCTTTGCAATAATCTGCCGATTTTCTTCTTTAAAAAGAGACCAACCTTTGGTCTGTATTCCAAAGTGTTCATAAATTTGGATATTTTTGATAAGTTTGGATAGTGCACTTTCATGCCTATTTAAAAAAAGCAGAGGAGAAAGCAATGATCACAGGTATGGATATTCTTGGAGAGTTCAGAACATAGTCTTAGCTGAATAATAACACTGGTGTCTTTGCAGGTGGTGATGGACCCGGAGAGCTGAGCAGGCGACTGAAGATGAACAGGTAAGGAGCCAGGGAGGCAGACACATGCACGTGAACAACAAGACCAGACACAGAGAAAGGGATGTGATGGTGGCTTTATACCAGGATTGATTGGTGTTGACAGGTGGAGTGCATCAGTTTTCGGGTGATTGTGAACGAGAGGGTGGAGCTGAAAGATCTGGCTCTGCTGTTGACTCCGTGACATTTACTATTTATTCATATGTGAAAAACTTTTGTCTGCCAAATTAAAGTCAAGGTCAATATATTAAATAAGGTTGGTTCAGGTTGTAAAATGTCAAATGTCATGTGGTGCAACTCCCCAGAAACATAATGATATTTTTTAAATAAATATATATTCAAAACTCAAGTTGGTTTAGACAATATGGGAATATTTTTTTGGTTACTGCGTAATTTCTATATACTTCCATTTGTGTCACTTCATAGTTCTGATGACTTTACTATTAACTAAACTGTAAAATATAGTAATAATGATAATTTAAAAAAAATCAGTATATGTGCCCAAACTTTTGACTAGTTTGACATTAGGGTAACTGCTGTACAGTTGTACGCTGATGTTCTGTCAGCCGTTTGTGGTTAGGGTGGATAGAGCAGATGAACAGAGTTTGTATTATTGTTCTGCTGTCTCTCGTCCCAGTGCACACACTCAGTGTCTCCCTCGCTCATGAACCCTCCCACGTTCAGTTTCGGCCTTTGAATGCTGCTAGTCATTGCCAGTACGGAACATATGAACAAAATCCCTTGTTCTTCTTGTTTGTCCATTATGCAACTGGTCGATGTGAATCCATATAATTCATTTGCTTTTAACTGCTCTCTTCTCTGACTGTTGACAGAGACATTAGTACAGAGAGAAAGAGAGCTTTTCCATTCCAAGAGTGGGTGTGTGTGTTCACATTAAAGAGCTCCACACTGCATTGTGCACAGTGCTCTAAATGTCCTCTTTATTTTATTACATCTTCAATGTGCTACTACACACACACATATAGCATTCTATAAAGGGGTCCATTAATTGTATTTAGTTTTTTCCCCTGATGTTCACTTATAATGCTAGTACAACATCATGAAAATCAATTTTAGTGTTGCATTTTCAAATTTCCCTCTTGGATTTTGTAATTGTTTTTTTTTTCTTCTGCAGAGCTGTAGGTGCTACACAGCCATTAGCAGCTCAAGCATTGGTGGATCTTCTTATTTTACTCTTATCGTTTGTTCTTCTGATATTTATGAATATATTTAGCTTTTTTATGAATAATAGAATCTATCATACTCTGAATGGTCATCACTCAAGTGTAAATGTGGGCATATACAGGTGCTTACTAAGGTACTGTAGTGTTGCAATAAATAAAAAAAACTAACTAGCATTTTATTGTATGTAATGTGTCATAAAGACATTAAGCATTAACTAAAATAATTGTAAAATTCACCACATAACACAAAAGAGGACCATATACTTTAAGATTTTATTTTGTTATTACAGTTGTTTTATAATTTGTAGCTGAGTTTCTTTTTCTTATTACTCAAACTAATGCTTTTAGGCTGGTCTCTTTTGGTGGATTACTTTCTTGTCTTCTTTTTGCAGAGAATAATGATCAGGGGGTCATAAGGGTCATGCGCAGGGTCAGAGGAGGATAAGCACTATAGAGAAGTGAGGGAGATGGACAGAGTTTATCCAATGAGCAGAGAAAAGATAATATATTTAGAGTTTTGATTATATGTGTAAGTTGTAATGTGATTTAAGAACTATGACAGTTGTTTTTCCTTACACAAATCCTTTGTATGGCTTCAGAAGACTTGAAATATAGGGCCCAAGCTATAATTTTATATTATTTTATTAATTAATTTATTTATTTTTTTGTCCTTTTGGGAGGTTGATAGAGCCTCATAAGTATGGTAGGTGGTGAAAAAGAGCAGCATGAACATTCTTCAAAACATCTTCTTTTTAGTTCCTAATGAAAGTAAGTGCATTATTGTATGCACACTTGTGATCTCTAAAGTATAATTTTTAAAAATCTGTACTTGCAGATAATATCAATGGAATAAAAGGCAACTTAATTGTGCTTAAAGAAAGTAGACTTTGATGAATATTTCTAAACACAATTTTAAAAAGTGCACTTTGTAATAATGTCAAATTCAATTTTTATTTTAAAGTACATTCTAAATCTTTATGTTTTAATAATCTTTTGTCTTGCTTTTAAGTGCGTTTTGATGTGTTGACTGTTTAAAGCACATTATTATAATTTTAACTGTAGTGTGTTTTAAGTTTTAAATATTTTAAATGTACAAAATTCATTAAATTTCTTCATCAGTGCAAATGTGTAATTACAAATATTTTTAAAAACATGACATACAAGTTTCAATACCATAAATGCTGATCAGTACATTCAGCAGTTCACTTTAACAATATTTTAAAGACAATAGAAGTCATTCATTAATTGCATATAAAGATGCACTTAAGTCCTAAGGAAAAAAATAATGAAAATTGCATTCAATATAAATTTTATATAATAATACATTCTAATTGCAATTAACATGCAATTAAGTGCTAAAAGCATAACATTCAGTATGACATATATTCATAATAAGTACATTAAACGTATGTTAAATTGTACTTCTTTTTCACAAGGGTATCCACAGAAGAAACTTTCATTTTGTAAGTTTAGAAAAAAATAGCTAATGATAGATAATGACATTTAATGATGTTTAAAGTCTAACCCTAACCCAAACTTATGTTTTTTGCTTAAACTCAAGCACAAAATATATGATTATAAGTGCCACTTTGTTTTTGAATGTTCAGATCAAAGACTGAATTTGAACTCACTAGTAATGAGAAAAACACTTGTTGCCTTTAATGTTTCTAATGAGTTCTAGCAGGCGGTATTGAAAACATACTTAAAAGAAAAATACCAAATCCTGACATCATGGACATGAACAGAGGAGGAATATTCGCCCCTCATTCAGCTTGATAATTGAGCTCATTAGTGAGGAACTTCCTCATACGAGAACGTCTGGTGACCTTGGCCTCTGAAATGTAGAACAGAGCCCTCTTATGAACAACCGGCCCCTCAGTCAGGAATCGTGCGCTAGTGTGCATCTCTACATAAGTATGCACACGAGTGGGCTCACCGATACTCCACATGACGTCAAACAAAAACAATTACTAAGTGTCCACCTCACCTCCCTCCTAAAAGTGCAAAATCTCAGGTCATCATCAGGCCTGAGCGATTTGACACGAACCCTGCTGTTTTAAGATCGAAAGCATTTGAAGTTCAAGTACAGCAGGCATTAAGTCAAATGAAAATGGCTGTGTCCTGACAGCAGCTGCTGTTAAAAAGATTCAGGGTGGCTTGATTCCTCCTCCTCCTGGTGCTGCTGAGATCTCCAGCTGTCTGTGGCTGTCTCTTCGTTTTCTTTAGATTACAGACTTGCCTGATGGACACAAACAGAGCTGCAACCTTTGTCCCTTAGTTTTTCTTTTTTTTCTCTCTCTCTCTCTCTCTCTCACACCTGCCACTTAGTAATGTTTTGTAAAATATAAACATTTAGCATAATTATTACATTACACTGAAACAGATTTTTATAAAAGTTTGGTTTGACATGCTGAATACTAAAATCACATTACTTTTTTTTGTATCATTGAATCAGAATCAGAATCAGAAGAGCTTTACACACACAAGGAATTTGACTTGATGACAGGAGCTTCCAGTGCAGAAGAAAGTACAGACATAGTGCAGACATACATAGGAATAACACAGTAGGGATGGAATATAACACTACTATAATAAAAATAAAAAAACTGAAATTAAATAATGTACAATATACAGAAATAAAAGTATAGGAAAATTTTTTAATTGTTTAGATAAATGTACATATATGTTATAAGTGTTCAGATATGTTATTTCCAAAGTGTGCAGTTTACAAGTGTACAAATTTTGGATTCTGTGTATAAATATGTCAGTTGTGATGGACGATGTATAATTATGAAAGTTTAATTGTTCATGCTGAATATAGTCTGCGGGAAAAAACTGTACTTGTGCCTGGCTGTTCTGGTGGTCAGTGCTCTGTAGCGCCGACCAGAAGGCAACAGTTCGAAGAGAGAGTGGACTGGGTGTGAGGGGTCCAAGGTGATTTTCTTAGCCCTTTTCCTCACTTTGGAGATGTAAAGATCTTGGAGGCTGGGCAGAGGGGCACCAATAATCCTCTCAGCAGTACTGACTGTCTGCTGTAGTCTCTTGATGTCTGTAGCTGAACCAAACCAGACAGTTATGGATGAACACAGGACAGACTCAATGAGTAGAACTGTTTCAGCAGCTCCTGTGGCAGATTGAATTTCCTCAGCTGGCGAAGGAAGTACAACCTCTGCTGGGCCTTTTTAGCAATGGAGTCTATGTGAGTGTCCCACTTTAGGTCCTGAGATATAGTATTGCCCAGGAATCTGAATGACTCCACTGCAGCCACAGTGCTGTTCATGATGGTGATTGGAGGGAGTGCTGGGGGGTTTCTCCTGAAGTCCACGATCATCTCTAAGCTCCAGGTTGTTAAGACTGCACCAGACAGCCAGCTCTTTAACCTCCTGTCTGTAAGCAGACTTGTCTCCGTCCTTGATGAGGCCAATGACTGTAGTGTCATCCGCGAACTTCAGGAGCTTGACAGAGGGGTCCTTTGAAGTGCAGTAGAGATGCACCGATTGCAATTTTCTTGGCCGATTCCGATTTCCGATTTTTCGTTAGTGTGATCTGCCGATAACGTTTTTTGCAGATTCCGTTTTCCTTTCTAAGAACTATAATTGACAGCATATACAAACAAAAATCTACTTTTCTTCAACGCAAAGTTTTATTTTCATAAAAAACACAAGTAAAAAGTCAGTAATAAAATAAGAACAAATAAAAAAAATGGCAAACAACAGCACAAATAAATGTTCTTTGATTAACATGACAGATAGCAGCAGGAATATTGGACTGCGGTCCCTTTAAGAGTTTATCCACGGACCCAATATACTGTTACACAACATGCGTTCTCTTTCTCAACTATTTAACATTCCAAAACTGATTGTGTTTAACTGGATACTCGCCAAGACGGGCATTTTGATATGTTTTTGTATGTATTTGAATGTTTTAGCGCAGTTAGCCACTCATTTTGGTATTTGTGGCTCACAAGCTGTTTGAGACTGAGCGCGGATTGTGCGCTCCACTAATATAGATCAGTGGTGATGCACGCGCGTTTGGTATAAGCGCGAAACCTGCGGGAATGACTATAATGCGCAATACAGGCACTATTTAACCGGAGCGAATGAGA